TTGCCATCAAGTCAATTCTGACTAATAATGACCCTATATAGAGTCTGTAGATTTTTACTGTACATTTTTTACGGGAGCAGACAGCCTCATCTTTCTCCCACAGAGCAGCTGGTAGGTTTGAACTGATGCTACTTTACACTTCTTTGTTTGTCTCATGCTACTATACACTTCTAATGTAACACCAACAAAATGTCTGAAATTTATGACTAACAAAAATCACAGTAATTGTGATAGTACCCAGAGTTTTACTCTTTCTTTACATGTCATTTCATGCGATGTTGCAAAATAAGAGTCCACCAAGATAATCAGTAAATAATTGTTAAACAATTGCATTGAAAAGCAGAGTTTCATATTAGCTTAAGAATTAATTTAATACTTAAGACTTTTGAGGAATCTATATCTTCCAAATAAATCAGTAAGCTAGAAATGCCAATGTTTCCAATGCAAAAAAATTTTTAGGTACACATAATCATGCTTATTACAAGTCCTGGTGGTACTGTGAGTTAGACATTAGGCTGCTAACCACAAGATCAGCAGCTCAAACCCACCAGCAGCTCTGTGGGAGAAAGATGAGGCTGTCTCCTCCAGTAAAAATTTAGTTTGGGAAGTAAGAAATTTAGAAGATAAAGATAGAGGGAAAAGGCTAAAACAAATCTTTTTATATACAAAATTAGAAAAATATACGTACATAAAAACTGAGTCATAATCAGTTTATATTACATCATCAATTACATTTATATTAATTCTAAATCAGTTTATATTACATCATCAAATTGATTGACATGGAAAGAAATGTAATGAAGACTAGGCTACAAAATACTGAACATTTGTCCACTCTGTAGACTGCTCCTATAGACAGCTGCAATGTTCATGGCCCACTCTGAGAAAGGGTCTGTAGGATATCCTCCCAGTAGCCACTGTGCTTTTCACCCAGTGGCTGCAGAGCCTAGCCAGTGCTGATTAGTCTTCTAAGGAGTGTTGGATCTTATTTCTTAGGATTTGAATGTGAGCTAGACAGAGAGTAATGGGAGCAACAGAGGCAAAGTCCAAGGGTCACAGAGTCCCATATCAACTGGAGATGACAATATGTAACTCTGAGAAAACAAGGGAAAAACACAATTTCTTCCATTTCCATGAGGTTATGCTGTGTGTGGCTCTAGTAGCATAGTGGTTACGAATCAGACTGCAAACCTTAAGGTCAGCACTTTGAAACTATCAGCTGTGCCACAGGAGAAAGATGAGGCTTTCTACTCCTGTAAAGATTTACAGCCTCGGAAACCCTGTACAAGGTCGCTATGAGTTGGAACCGACTCCACAATACTTAACAACAACAACAACAATGCTGTGTGGCTACTGATATTTTCTTTATTTCCTAATGCTACTTATAGTTCCTCTTTACTGGTGAATTTAACTTGAGTATGTACTAACATGAGCATGTATATACTATCTAAAACAGAAACAGCCCCAAAAAACATCTACATTATCATGCTTCCTGGCTGTATACTATTTCATTATGTAGTTGTTGTTAAGTAATGTCAAATCAGTTCCTACTCATAGCGACTCTGTATAGGGTTTCTGAGGCATTATATCTTCAAGGGAGCCTCATCTGTCTCCTGAAGAGTGGCTGGCTGGCTCAAACCATGGATCTAGTGGTTTGCAGTCCAATGCTTATCGTTTGGAGACACCATGTTCCCTCCAATATATAGAGATGACATCATTTGCTTAACCAACTTACTTCCAAGTTTTATTTTTTATTACCTAACTTCCAAGACACATTCCTGTGGCCATCACATTTTACATATGTTTCTAATCTTAAATAGCCTCCTAAAAGCTATGCGTTTCTGTTATACCTTCTCATGGTAATAAAGCATGCTACAGGAAACAAATGGATTATAAAATCTTTCAAAATACTTACTTAAACACATGTCTTTATGACTCATAAGTATAGAAATGTTGGCAAAAGGTAAAGAAGGAACAATATCAGTGATAGTGACTAGTGAACTGAGAACAATATTTAAGCAATGCGTAGGTTCCAAATCTATGACTGGATTAGAAATGGTTCAGTCATAGCTGATGGAAACAAGGGCAGTATAGACGTGGCACAATGACCATATCTCTTATGCATCAAATTTTGACCCATGTAAGAAACAGGCAGTGGTACCCTGCTCAAAGATGGCAGCCTGCCAACACACATTCAAAGTGGTGCAGTCGTGAGCAGGTACCACTGCCTGTTTCCCATTTGGGTCAAAATCCAAAGCACAAGAGATTTTGTTGCTATCTAATGGGTAGACTGCCCTTCTTTCTTTCTGCCATGACTGAGCCATTTTGAACTGGATTGAAGCGCTGGAGCTAATCACAAGGTCGGCAGTTCGAACCCAATAGCTGTTCCTCGGAAACCCTGTATAGGGTTGTTATTATAAGTCAGTACTGGCTCGAAGGCAATTAATAACAACCATTGCTCTATGAATGTATATATCTATGTATGAGGGAGCTTCAAATAATTTGTGGGAAAATACCATATTTTAGTTCTATTTTTCCATGAATTTTTTTAAGGCCCCTCATATGTAAATCTATGAATGAATTCATACCTGTTCAATAACTTTCTAGTATGTGGTGGTGGTGGGGGGGGGTTATGTGCTGTGGAGTCAGTTCCGACTCATAGCGACCCTGTACAGGGTTCCCGAGGTTGTAAATCTTTATGGGAGCAGAGAGCCTCATCTTTCTCCCGTGGAACAGCTGGTAGTTTCGAACTGCTGACCTTGAGGTTCGCAGCCCGATTCGTAACCACTATGCTACCAGAGCTCCTTTTCTAGTATGTAATGGCAGCTAGATACTAGACAATGTGCATGAGAGAGAGAGGGTCTCAGTACTCCTGTTGTTGTTGTTAAGTGCTGTCGAGACAATTCTGACTCACAGGGACCCTGTATAGGGTTTTCGAGGAGCAACTGGTAAGTTTGAACCACCAACTTTGTGGTTAACAGTCCAGTGCTGAACCTACAGTGCCACACCAGGAGTCCAACAATACTTATGGTATTTTGCAAACAGTAAATCATTATATTTAATTGAGTGGGTCAAATGACCCACCAAGAAACAAGCTTACCTGATTCCTGTAGCCAATGCTATCGGTGTTCGAGAAAGTCGTGAGAGTGTTTCTATAACCTGAGAAAAGAGGAAAGTGTTAATTGGATTTGCACCCCCACAAAATACTAGTTTCCCCATCTAATACTAACAATGGCAGCAGAAAGGGAAATATGCAGATGCCAGAGATGTAATAGAAGGAAACTTGATTGGGAAGTACACATAACAGGTTTTTGCCCCTTTTTAAATTTTATGATTTAAGCCGATTACTTACCCCATGTGGGCTGCAGTTTCCTCATCAGTAAAACAAAGTTCAGATTGGGTGATCCCAAGCTCTCCTGCCCTCTACAGAATTTGAAAGATCTCATAAAGTTGCACTATCCAACATAGTAGTCACCAGCCATGACACTATTTAAATTTAAATTAATGGAAACTGAATAAAACTGAAAATTCAGCCCCTTAGCTTCACTAGCCATATTTCAAGTGCTCAGTGGCCACAAGCAGCTTTGTTGTGGTGGTTGCTGTTAGGTACATGGAGTCATTACTTAACCAACTCATACAACCTTATGCACAACAGAATGAAATACTGCCTGGTCCTGCACGAACCTCACATTTGTAGCTAAGTTTGAGCCCATTACTGGCTGCCACTGTGCCAATCCATGCAGCTAGTGGTTACTGGAGTGGATAGCACAGACATCAAACATTCCCATCATTGTGGAATGATGGGCAGTATTGGAGTCCTGAGGGGCATTAAAGTCCTGGAGTGCTGCTCGCTTTAGGATAAGCACTAGGCCACAAGGTCAGTTTGAACCACAAGGCTGGTGGTTCAAAGTCAGCAGTCGCTGCTCAGAAACCATATACAAAACCACTATGAGTCAGAACCCACTAGAGGGCACTTAACAACAATTGCTGTATAACAGTGTGAGCGCTTAAGCTAGATCACAAATGTTCAAACCTTGGTTTTAGCACCATTAACCATTTTGTTGTTGGTGTTGTTAAGTGTCATGGATTCGGTTCTGACTCATAGCAACCCCATAAAGCATTTCTGAGGAGTGGCTGGTGAATTTGAACCATCAACCCTGAGGTTCAAACCGACCTTGCAGTCCAGTGTACTAACCCAGAGCACCACACCAAGACTCCATTAGCCATGTAACCTTGGGTAAATTACTAAACTTCTCAGGGCTTCTCTTCTTCCTCTGCTTGTAACAACAGTCCCTACCTTCACTGAACTGCTGTAAGGATTAAATAAGTTAATACCAGTGAAACACTTAAGTGGTAGCTATTCTTTGTTATAATTACCAACTTTAAGATAATTGCCTACTCTAATTCTGCATTTTTCAGGAAAGCTATGCCTCAATTAGCCTTGATTATCTGTTTCAAATTTCTTTATGAAGTTCTTCAGTGTCTGAACCTAAATGTGTCAGACTATCGTTTGAACATCAGCGCCTACCCATTTTACCCTGCCTTCAAACGTTTATACTTAAGATCAGCTACTCAAAGACTTAGTCCTCACTAAACTTTGATGTGGAGTCCTGGTGTAGTGCTGCGGGATAAAGCACTGGACTGCAAGGTCGCTTTGAACAAGTTCGGCGGTTCAAACTCACCAACTGCTCATTAGAAATCCTATACAGGGTCGTTAGGAGTTGGAACCAACTCAACAGCACACAACAACAACAACTGGAGGCAGTGACATAAAACACATTTTTCTCACAGAGCCTATTTCTGTAATAGATCTAGCTTCTTGTAACTTTCAAAATGAAAGGAAACAAAACTTAAGAGTTTCTACTGCAAGGCCTATTGAGACTAAGAGAAAAAAAGGGGGCGGGGGCAAAATTCTCCTACTGACTGGAAATAATCTTTCAGTGCCTCAGTTCAATGACAAAAACCTAATATCAAGCCTCTGTGGAAGGCTAGTAAAGGAATAACCATGATAAATGCTAACTGCAAGGTCAGTGGTTCAAACCCACCATGAGAAAGAAGAGCTGTCTACTTCTATAAAGATGTACAGAAAGCCTGCACAGGGTCACTGTGAGTCAGCATCGATGCAATGGCAGTGGGATACATCTCTCTTACTACTTCAAGAAGTAGTGCACTGTTACAGTTAGAAACTGATGGCTCTGGAGTAACAACACTTGGAGCCTCAAGTTTCTAACTAAGCTTACCTTTATAAGTCTCTGCAAAGTAGGAATAATAGTTAGTGACCTGCTTCATGAAATTATTCTAAGCGTTATCCACTGCCATTGAGTTGATTTTGATGAATAGTGATCCTATCAGGATCGCAGAAAGAGTCAATCTGTCCCATAGGATTTTCAAAGATGTATATCTTTCCAGACGCAGACTGCCACATCTTTTTCCTGCCTTTTAGTAAGCAGCTGGGTGTCTAACCAAGGCACGACCAAGGCTCCGTTTTAAAGACTTAAATGAGATTGTTGTTGTTAAGTGCCATCGATGCTTATCTCAATAATAATCGTGACCTTTCATTATTATGTAAAATAAAGTTGTTACTAATATACAGAAATAAACTTCAGCTGCCAGTCTTCATGCAATTTCCTCCTGGTTTGACTATGTTGAACACTTGATATCAATGCAAGACACACCCACCCAGATAAAACTTGACATCGATTAATTCACCAGAGTTAAGTGATTGTAAAGTTTAACTGTGTCTTCTTAACTCAGTGAGTCTGAAATTTCGCAAGATTATGAATGAACAAATATTAGCAAATTTAACAAAATTAACTTTTCAAAATAAAAACAGCCACTTATTGAAATTCCAAAATCACGGCTTACTGAATGAAAAGTTCAAGTTTTGGATGGATCTGGAATAAACTGTGGAATTGCATTTAGACTCATGAATCAGCTATATTGTAATGAATTTTATCCGGGCATAGCTTGTGATTCTGTTATACTTGGATTCTTTATTTTATCATTGCTATTTTATTATATACTTCAAAGCATGCATTGTATTCTATGTGAATATTTTCAATAATAATTATGATACACCTTCAAAATATGAATATATTTTCTGTTCCTTGTTCTACAAATCACCAGAATTATTATTCACACCCTCCCTCCAAAGCTACACTAGAGTCTGACTTTCATATAAATGTCCACCAGAGGGAGCCATATGATAGTATATTACTTTGGTTCTTAAGTTGAATGCATTTGTGAAGTGCATACAAACATTCCTGGAAGCCAATGAGCTGACATCAACTGCTATTATTTATTTTACAAGGGTTATTTATAACAATTCAGCAATATAAAGCCAATATAAATACACAAATTCCAAGGATGAAAGGGCGGATGAATCCCATATCATTGTGTTTTTAAGTGTTGTCGAGTTGGTTCCGACTCATGGCGACTCAGTATAGGGTTTCCGAAGAGTGGTTGATGAGTTTGAACCACTGACCTTGCAGTTAAAACGAGTTTTTCTTCCAGTACTTATCCTACAGCACCACACTGGGACTCCCAAGGACCACCTCTGATTGGGGAGTCATCTAAGGACTATCACTCCATTTTGTGTCTATTTTACCGTGCCATGGAGTCTGCAGGTCAACTGTGAGTTTGGCCAAAGGAAAGAGACTGTTTAGTCAATGTAGTGTTTTCAGAACAATGCTTATTCTATAAAGGCTGAATGTATCCAGATTTGGAATAGACAAATTAATGTCAGATTTCTGAGTCCTCTGATTATAGATTCTAATCTGACATTAGAAACATTCATTCAGAAACACTGACAAGAGAAACCATTTCCAGAGACATTAAGGAGACGATTGCCCCTGTAATCAAAGAGAAAGTCTACATGAATGGTTACCTAAAAATAATATGAAGTTATAGGCATAAATTCCCAGGAAGGGGAGAGGGAGAAATAGAACGCTTGTAAAGACACAGGCCCGTGAGCAACTCTACTAAATCTCTGTAATCAAACTCTTTTCTTTACCTACTTCAGAGAGTAAAAAGAATGGAACATTTTAATTTGTAAAATAAAAAAAAATAAAAAAAAAAGGAAATGAAAAATAATTCTGGATTGTGAAATCCATGTAGGAGACCTGAGTTCGGTTTCTATGCATTGCAAGGGGGCTTCAAAAACTTTGGGGGGGAAATGGAATGAAAAGATACTGGATTTTTCCATGAATTTTTTGTATTGCTGTTGTTAAGTGCTGTCGAGTTGGTTCTGACTCACAGCAACCCTGTATAGGGTTTCCAAGGAGCGTAAAAGCTGCCTCTCCCCTCAACTTCTGTCCTAAGAGGACAAGGTGTGAACCTTGCAGAATTTTTCTTTCCTCTTTACCATCATTATTTTAAGCCACGGGTTCATATTACACAGCGTTTTCTACAACATGCTCTTCTCATTTAATAATGTATCTCAGAGACTGTGTCAGTACAATGCACTTAAAAAAAGAAAGAAAAACAACAGACTGTTTCCATCAAGTCAGTTTTGACTTGCAGATTTAACTTTACTCATCTTAATGACTATATAACATTCTGGCATATGATATAATGATTTGGTCATTTTCCTACCAATGAACCCTCCCAATATTTTACTACTAGAATAATGCTGTGGTTAACCTCTTTGCCAAATATTTTTTCAATTGTATATGAGTATTTTTACAAGAAAGATTTGTAGGCATGGCCATTGACCTTCAAAAAGTCTGCATGAACCTTGGAACAATAAGGCTCTGTGATACAGGGATTGAGACACAGTCTAAATGGGTAAAAGAGGGGAAATAATGTTAAGATGCTTGACTGTTGTATGAATATTGGTTTCCCTTGCCTACTATTGTAAAACAGACACTTGAATGGGATAGAAAGAATATTGGGAAACATGATTACAGAAAGCTTGTAAGCATATCTTCAACCATTGGAATACCTAAAAAGGGTTCTAAAACTTGTCCATGAAATAGGTTTCAAGCAGAGCCTTTGTAATGTACAGGAATTTAGATGGAATCCTGAGCCCCATCCAGAACCTTCTGAGGTGGGACATTCCCACTTGAAAGGACAAGCAGACCAGCCTGGAGCAGCTAGAGGTACAGAAGATACTTCTTGAAAGAAAGACCAGCAGGAAAAAACAAAAACAAAAATGGCAG